ATATGGTAAAATTATTTGTGTGGAATTCCCTTCTTTGTCATGTCCCTAACAAGCTGTGCACATTAATACTACTACTACTACTACTAATAATAATAATAATGATGATGATGATGATGATGATGATAATAATAATTCATTTTATTCGAGGGTGCCTTTCTAAAACCCAAGGTCACCTTACAAAGAGAAAACGATAAACATGGATAAAGATCAATAAAACAGTAGATTAAAATAGATTAAAATTTATTAAAATACAAAAACCCCCCACAGATAAAAAAGCAACCAAGATTTGACAACAAGTAAAATCTGACTTAGATAAGGGAAGGGAATCTATTTTTCTTATAACTGGAGGAAGTGAGTTCCAGAGCCAAAGAGCAGAGCGACTGAAAGCTCTGTTCCCTATCGTGATAAGACCAGCAGAAGGAACAACAAGATGAATGGCAGATGAAGATCTGAGAGAGCGGGAAACAGTGGTGATATGAAGCAGATCACAAAGATAAGGAGTGGCAAGTTTATGGATGCACTTAAATGTGAGAACTAAACTTTTAAAGTTTATCCTAGCTTGTATGGGTAACCAGTGAAGCTGCTGAAAAATTGGGGTGATATGGTCTCTTAAGTGAGTATGAGTTATGACCCGAGCTGCAGGATTCTGAAGAAGTTGAAGTTTATGGAGGGACTTATTAGGGAGACCAAATAAGAGGGAGTTGCAATAATCAATCAGAGAAGTAATAAGACTATGGACAAGGATGGCAGCAGCATGGGGAGTAGGGAACTAAGCAAACTAAGCAACCAACTTTATTTGACACATACACAATCATACAGAGTACAACATGTATAAAATGCTTGTGTCCGAGCTGTGGACTGGCTGCAGACGTAGCTGCGCCATTCCAGGGCTTGGTTTTAGCATGGGGGGTCTAGCCAGGACCCTTACTGGATACCGGGTGGGAAGGGACGAAGTCGGTTAATGTTACATAAGTGAAAGTATGCAGACCGGGTTATGTAATTAATGTGAGACTGAAATGAGAGAGTACTATCAAATATGGCACCCAAACTCTACAGTAATACCTAGTTTAACAATTATTATTCACACCAAATATAAGCTTTATACTGACATGCAATGTGAATGGAATTGTAGGAGAAATAATAATAATATATTTTAATATTGCATTGTTAATCACCAATTAATGGCCAATCACATTATATGGTGCTACTATAAATAGTAGCTGCCATCTGAGCAGCTGTTAGAGGTGGGCCACTTTGTTTCATACTCAGGTGATGTCGTTTGATCAGCCTGGGCCTGGGTGGGCACTTATTAGCTTTAGAGCTTTGTTCAAGTTTTCTTCTGCCCATATCAGTATATATGTATACATATTTATAATATCGCAAATCAATATTTCAAAATAAATTATTTATCCAATTAAACACTTTAAATTCAACTTGGATTTTAACAGAAATGGAAAATTAAAAATATTTGAATTAATTTACTTATTTCTCTTTTCTAAATTGTAACTTGAAAATCTGTTTTTTCTCATTTGGAATTTAAAAATGGTTTTTGAAATGAGGTTTTTATTGAGAGTTAAAAAATTGTGAAATCTGTTTTAGTTTGAAGTATTTATTAATTGATTAATAATTCATTTTGAAACATTGATTTATAAATTGTGTTATTAAGTTATTAAGTAATACATTAATTTAGTAATTTGTAAATGAATAAAATAATTTTGTATTTTGTTACACAATCATTATTTTAACACAGATGCACTTCGATGCACTTGACTCTTCTGGTCCTCCATATTGACATCATTGGTTTCTTGCTCTTCTCCCTACTATCCCGCAACACACACACGCACACACATACACACGTCTGCCCCGTGTTGTCAAATTATGTAATGTTTGTTTTTGTTGTGACTGTGCGTAAAGCAATGATGGCAGGGAGGAGGGCGTTCCTCCTGAATGAAGTCTTTGAATTAGCCTTACACGATTTGCAAATGAATGTGATGCAAATGGCTTGATCATAGTTTTTACTTGCCAGAGTTTCAGTTTCTATTTGTGTAAAATAAATGTAAATAAATGTAAAAATAAATGTCTTCGAAGACATTTATTTTTACACTTGTCCTCGAGACTATCTATTACTCTGGATGACATTACTTTTGCGTCAAATCTTGAAGTTATGTCCGTCAATGTGAATATTAAACAAATATGTGGTATATATCCCCCCACCCCCGGACCTGTTGTACCTCCTCAGTCTCCGGCACAAAATTAAAGGAAGGGGGATTATTTCAGAATAAAGATACTGGTACGATATCACGAATTAGACGCCCTTCCATCTAAGCATCCCTCACTAGCTCACCTGTTGCTGTATACATCCGGGTCTTCGTCACCTGCCTTCTGGAGCTGTTACAGGTAGAAGTCGTGTAAATTTTTCTGCTCCCTCCGACTGAATTGGTTACATTTTTGTTGATTGGTGCTACTCATGTTTTTGTATAGATCACCTGCGGATTGTTTCCTCTGAAGTTTTCCCTCCACCGATTGCTGGTATGTTTTAATTCTGTGCATTTAATGATTTTACTTCGCAGTAAACAGGTGTGTTTATAGGTCGTAGCTGCAGAAACCTCCATTCTGAGAACTGGAAGACGCCGTTTGTAACTTTGATTTTTCACGGTCTTAGCTTTATTTCTGTCACAATCGTCTTTTTACTGTAAATGCTAATTTTACTGTGCATTCACAGCATGTGGGTGGGCGGCTGATAGCATTACAGTGGCGCCGCTACTGTTTCTCTGGCTTACACTTACAGAAGTGCTGCTGCTTTGCCTTTATGCTTTGTTTTCTCCCTTCTTTCGTTCGGATTTTATTCTTCCCATTTCAGTAACTGTCTGGGCAGTGATTTGATCTTGATTGTTTGATCTTTGTGCATTGCTCTGGTTTAAGATTTTAGAATAGCCTTTAAGCCGTATGTAGAGGATATGGAAGCCTGTTAATGTGTTTTTGATGTATTGAATTATTCATTTCGAGCAGTTTGAATATATAACAATTAATATTAATTTTTGAAGCGATCAACAATAACACTTCTATTTGGGTGTTTACTGGGTTTTTTGGAGGTGTGGTCCTAAACTTTTGATCAACTGTAAAACAGCTTGTTTCAGTTTAAGCGTTGTTTTCAATAACCTTCTCAAAATGTTTTGTTTCACTCCCATTTCTTCTTTTTGCATGTTCGAGCTCCAGTTGGAACCTTGTTAAGATCCAACCATACAAAATATGATTTTTTTTTTGTGCCATTTTTCAAGTGTTCTTAAACTTTTGATCAGGACTGTGTTACACCATTGGAAGTAGGCTGTAACTGTCCCTGAGACAGTTCAAATAAAGTTGGTTATTTCATGTTTCTGTGATAGATTCATGCTTAATTTAGTTCATTTATTTACAAGATAAGATGATAAAAGTCTAACATTAATTTAAAAAAAAACATTTCTAAAATATGTGATTACAAAATATGGGTTTGTTAAATATGTAAAGTGCTGTAAAGTTTGTATGAAGTAAAGTTTGTAATTGTCACATGACCAGAGTTTGGTTGAGAGCACAACCATGGCATTGTGGAGCTAGCATGGATACATGGCTACAGATGCATCTACAGCCTCAACGTTAATGTTATTCTGCATGTGGTCCAAGAGGCGCACACGGTATGGTTTCATGTATATTGTTTGTATAAT